TTAGTCACTGTTTACAAGGGATTTTCGCCACTGCTTTTTAAAAAGATTTTTGAGATGCTTAATGTAACTTGATCATTGCTTACTTAACTATTTTAATTCTAAAGCCTGTACAGACCTTGTCATACCTACGTTACCTTATACGCAAAAACAAACAGATCAATAATTAATTGATTAATATCAATTAATTGACATATACATACATTGGAACTTTTTGAAATACTTGACACGTTAATAAATCATTGCTCTTGTACCGTCTCAAGCAGTTATGTCGATAACGTACAGACAATTTCACCTTGAAAGAATTGTCGCTTATCTTTAAATTGCAATTGTTAACTATTTATAATCATATTAAAGATTATTTAATAAGGTGCCTTTTCAGGTGGTCACATTATAAAATAAATGTTGATATACATTTCGTCATTTAAGATACTACGTTTTCTACAAAGGAGATCGAAAGTATTGCATACAATTCTGGGCCCTCAATGTAAAGACATGAAAATAGTATTAATTAAAAGGTTCAAAATTAAAAGTTTTTTCATTGAAAATTCTATAGAAATTGACAATCAGATGGCTGAGTTATTGGAGGTTTAGTAAAAGTGAGGTTATATTACATTATCTTTAAGAGTTAGATGAATACACTTAAAAGTATGTGAAAAATAATAATTTTATTTAGACGAGAATATCTGATAAGTTAAAACAAGGCAAATTTTATGAGCAACAGGAGGAGTGAACTAGGTATGTGATAAAAGTCATAAAATAAAAGAAATAATTTTAATGGAATATTTTATTCCTCTTCAATAATAATTAAAATATCGTCTAGGAACAGTGCAGGGGGCACAATGTTACTATTTGCTATTCCACAAGTCACACAGCGATCCATCGTTTCAGTAATATCCAATCCATAAGCCGGCGAAATAATCCAAATTAACAATTGCAAGTCAAACGTGCAGGCGATCGTCGGTGTCCAATCTGAAAGCAAAGGTCGTAAAACGTTAGGCGGGTTCAGAGTCCGTAAAAAACAAAGCAGTGGTCGTTGAAAACGTAAAACAATCGGGAAAGCACTCGAAACGTATCAAAAAACACGAAACAAGACAGACTCAGATAACAATGCATCTGGCATGGTAATTGTTAAGGCTTAAGTGTCATTTGTCAATGGCATGTTGCCAAAGACTATATACTGAATGATTTCGATCGATATGGAATCGATAATCGAAAAGGATGTTTTGAAATAATATTTAATATTATTATTATATTAATACACATTATTAAAAGTTATCTTTATAGAATTATAGACATATATGGTGTAGTTTAAATGAAGTTACTATAAGTTTAAAACTAGGAGAGAAGTTTTTATTTTGTAGATAAATAATCGAATAATCATTTTTATTTAATTAATCGTTAATCGATTGCTTCATAAAAACAGTTATTTGCATATTTCTCCGCTTGGAGATTGAGAATTTATGCAGATTTTTGGTATTTCATACAAAAAAAAATTAAATCGATTTTGAACTCATAACATTTTGGGCAAACCAGTTTCCATCTCCTTTAATTATATTTGTTTAATTATTGTTTAAAACTTATTTAATACTAGTTTTTGCCCGCGACTTCGTCCGCGTTAGTTTGGTCAAGAGTAATATATGTAGGTGTAGCTGACCAGGCGAACTCTATTCCGTCTTAGAGGCCATAAATAATCAGGTTTTTCCTGTTTCAATCAAACAGAATGATTGACATATTAGTTAGTAGTCAAATCTAATGTCAAAAAAAACGTTTGTATGGGAAATAGAAAAGGGCTGTTTTTAGGGTTTGCCCGGCAATTATTCCAATTTTTCTCACCTTTTATACCTTCCGTGAACCTCCACGAACATTTCAAGACTAAGATTAGATAAATCCGTTCAGCTGTTCTCGAGTTTTAGCGAGACTAAGGAACAGCAATCCATTTTTATATATATAGAAGATTTTTCTTTCTTGCGACGGACAAACTTCTTTTTAAATTGTATATATCGAGGATGTGCAATGTCGCCGCTACCCAGATGAGCGCACACTGAGCCTCAGTTTTGCTAGACGGGGCTATCTCCCTTACCGAGCTGCGATATTATTTTGTTCGCTGGCTAAAGGTAGCCGAATTGGCTATATATATTTTTTGAAATATTTAATTAATAAATCATTTTTATGCAGAAAAAAAGATTATCAACATTTAACACTCAATTTCAATAAGTTTTATGTATATGGTATAGCATGGATTTTAAAACGTAAACTGTCTCGCAATCAGTGGCGGCTGTACCTTAAGTGCACTCGTGCGCTGAACCGGCAAATTAAAAGATTTAAAAATTACAAAATATTACTTCATCTTTATTTTTAAATTACCATTTTAATATTTATTTTTTAGCCTTATAAAAACGTATAAAAAATTAAATTTCCTAATTATGGTCAAAAAGTTTGAGCGCTTTACTAAACTAATATATCGTGCGCTTCGGCGAGCGCACGAGGACTGCTAATACATCATGTATGAGATACGAATAAATACGCCTGACGCGTGAAACAAAAGATCGTTCATAGAAATGTACCGAGTAATGAGTCGGTTCTCGAGCGCCGCACGAGCGGCCGAAGATTACCGAGAGCACCCGATGTATGACGAAATGAGCCGGCCGTTTTTGACATTTCGTTGTTTTGTTGCATTTTCTAATTATAATATTTTAGTAAAGTGCACCACCAGTTCGATTATCCACCGGCCGCCACTGCTCGCAATATATACAATATGTATATAATTATACTCCAGCCAAATTTGATGTGGAATGTTTAATAACAACGCGTTGCTTAGCAACCAACGTCAGGCAGATGCTCAAAATATTTTTAGAAATACATATTTAAAAAAATATTTAAATTCTTATTTTATAGTACTTATTAAGATAATATTTTATATAACTTAATTATTTAATAATACTTTTTAAAACAAAATGCAATCAATAAAAAGAAAAAATCTTGATTCGAAAAAAATTATTCTGGTAACACTGCTACGCCGGGCACGTCACTCGTCACACGTCAGTGACTGACGGTAAGTCCGCTTAGACTGTAGTTGTGTGACGTTTGTCCTCTAGCGCTACGGCGACACTCGCACGCGCACTCTCGCTTACGAAAATTAATCTCCTGTATTAATAGCTTGTAAGTAGTATAAATTGTTAAATCTTGCTTAATTCGCTAAACACATAATACAATAAAATAATGATTCGTTGCTAAAATGAGGTATAGTTATAATATTTCTTAGTAAGTATACATTCTTATTAAGAAAAGAAAATAATAATAATTACTTAAAATAATGAATTCCAAAGATTTTTCTTGCAAGGATACGCTTTGTAGTCATATAATGGTTATGTCCCTTTCTAATTTTATTGCATTACATTTATATCTTCTATAATATAATAAATTGTCTTTAGACTAATCTATGAAATGGAAATCGCGGAGAAATATCTTATACATATTTCTTTTCAGTTTAATAATTAGCGATTGTTAATTGGATATAAGTTATAATACCATTTTTATTCACTTAGAGGATCGATGATATCCAGGACGACTCTTTAGTTCTTCTAGGAAAACCAACAGCACATTTGGTCTACGGTGTTCCCTTGACCATAAACTGTGCTGTTCAAGTAATGGCGGAGTCAATGAAAATAGACCTCGAGTTAGCACCAGATGCTTCGGTCTTATTATAACTATTAATTTATGTAATTATTAATTAACAGAAGTAACTTTAAATATAAATTGTAGAACGAAATCCTTTCATAAAGTGTAGTTGAAAACTGTAGAAAATTTTTATGATACAATAATGTAGACTACGTATAATAATTATGTGAATAATATATATTTTTACAGAAAGTCAAGGGATTCGCGGATCAATTATACGACATGTGGCAGGGACAAGGCACTGAGATTTATTGGGAGCAAAACTTCATTTGCCCCACTGAGGATCAATACTAAAAGAGCGACACATATGAGTAATATATAACTTATACATTTTTCTAACCTCTACGTTTTAACAAATCTGTCCTATATAAATATTGTTACTATCAAATGAACAAATATCTCACTGATAATATTATACATTAAACAGACTTTATAATTCCAACAAATTTAAATTTATCATAACAGTTTTAGAGAAATTTAATTGAAATGTGAATGTTTTTCTAATTATAATTTTTATTTAGCTTCGACATGACTATTGTAATCTTCGTACGGAGGAGGTTGTTTTTGTGTTCCTAATATAATTGATTTATATATATCTGTAAGAGGAGGGGTGCTTTCTTCAATAATACCATCTTGTGGATTCATTATTATTTATTCACTTTAACACTTCACACACTGATATATTACGTCACTTGACACACTTTATACACTGATATATTACAGTCACTTCACACACTGATTTATTACACAATTAAATAACTAGTTAAGTAAATTCGCACACAGAATCAACAAAATATCAACAGAGATTAGTCTAGTTCGAGTGCTGACAAACGAATGAATGCGCTCTCGCTGCAAACCCGCCTTTTATTGTTCGACAATAGGAGGGGAACGACGTCGAGTTGGAACACGTGTTCAATAAAGGATGACGTAATCGAACGATGACTTGTAGTTTGCGCCGATACGGCCATTCTGATGATGGGCGCGTCCCTGCGTCTACATCATGAAAGGACCTGGAAAATTAACAAGTATTAATTCACGTAAAAACAAGTCAACCTCATAGCCTCGTCGCTAATTTTGGTTGTTATCAAAGCACGTCAACCTCATAGCCTCGTCGCTAATTTTGGTTGTTATCAAAGCACGTCAACCTCATAGCCTCATCGCTAATTTTGGTTGCTATCAAAGCACGTCAACCTCATAGCCTCATCGCTAATTTTGGTTGCTATCAAAGCACGTCAACCTCATAGCCTCAGCGCTAATTTTGGTTAATCTCATAAATTACTTTAAGATATTACCTCATTGCTCGTTTACAGCTACAACCATTGCTACTCATCTTTGGATGAACTTGCTTCGACGTCTTTATTAATCGCCGATATGGCCACGTCATTTTGTACTCCGAATTTAGGAGCGCTTCTTAGTTGTTCATGGCATACTTTTCTTGCCCGACCACGACCATTGATTTTTCGAATCTCATACCTATCATGAGGTAAAACTTTTCTTACTTCGAAAGGTCCATCATATTTTGGGCTTAATTTGGTACCCAGACGTGGCGGTTCTTTTAACAAGACGTATTCGCCCTTCTCGAATCTGTTCACTTTGGCTTTACCTCTGTTATACCGAGCTTCATCTTTCGTAGCTTGTTCGGTCATCCTTGCTAACACAGATTTTTTCAACATCTCCGGGTCTATACGCTCATTGCGTTCATCAATCAGGTTGAGCAGTTCAGGAGGAACACAACCTCTTTTTCCAGTTAGCAATTCAATAGGTGTGTGACCTGTTGTTCTAGAAAAAGTTGAATTAATAGCCAATTGCAGAGCTCCAAGAGATTTCGTCCAATGACTTTTGTGAGTATTGTTGATTACTGTTAAACCATTCTTTATTATTCTCATAATCCTTTCCACTTGACCATTGGCTCTACTTGTGTATCCAGCACATTGATGTAGCTCGATCCCAAATTGTTCACAGTAATCTTTATAATGGGATATAAATGCGCCATCACCATCGACAATAATGCGCTTTGGGGCTCCAAAAAGGAAAACTATTTCCGTTAGATGTTTTAATGCACTTGCCTGGGTCTTGTTTTTGGCGTGTTGTAATATTACAAACTTTGTATAGGCATCGATAGCCACGAAAACATATTCCTTTTGAGAAGCATTTCCACTGAGTTTTCCAGAAATGTCGATATGGATGGTATGAAAGGGTTCTGGTATCTTCTCTATTGTGTGTAGGCGACTTTGTGTAGCTCCAGATGACCCTTTCATTGTCTTGCATATAACACAGTGCTCTACGAAGTATCTGACAATTGACGACATTTTGGGAAACCAGAAATTCTCCCTGAGTTTTGCCAATGTCTTCTCCCATCCCATATGCTTCAGTGCTTCGTGATAAGTATTAATGAGACTCCACTGGTAGGATTGAGGGACGACTTTAGCGAGTTTTAACTTATCGTCGGTTTTTGTTTTGTAGTGTAAAATATTATCCCTGAGTTCATAGTCTGGATGCAACTCATTATTAGCGTGGACATCTTTAATGATTTTACTCAATTCGGTATCACGACGTTGTTCGACAATTAGCCAGTCATCTTTGGTGGATAAGTTCATTACAACCTGAAGTGGGTTTCTGCTAAAGAAATCTGCATGCTTTAGTTTTTCTCCCTTTCGGTATTCAACTTCAAATTCAAAATTTTGTAGGAACGCCCACCATCTGTGTATTCTAGGCAGCAATTCTTGTTTATAGCGGGATGCCTTCACTGCATTGCAGTCCGTTATGACCGTAAATTTGCGCCCATATAAAAAGTGACGAAAGTGCTTTATTGCTCTTACTATTGCCAGTGTTTCAAGCTCGTAGCTGTGGTACTTGGATTCGGCTGCAGTGGTTTTCATGCTAAAATATCCAATGACATGGCGTATTCCACCTTTCACTTGAATCAACACAGCTCCAAATCCCATGGCACTGGCGTCTGTGTGTAGCTCGATAGGATAGTTTTCCTGGAATATTGTCAGTAGCGGTGCTGATGTTAGGTAATTAATTATTCTTGCTCGTATGGCTTCATGTTCTTCTGTCCACTCCCATTTGACACCGGTTTTTGTCAAATTGTACAAGGGTATCATTACAGTTGAGAAGTTACATATAAATCTTCGAAAATATCCCGCCAAACCGTTAAACTGTCTCAACTGCTTTACATTTGTCGGAGGCGGGGATCTTGCCAATGCTTCAACCTTGGAAGTGCTGGGCCTCACTTTACCATCACTTACTATAAATCCGAGGTATTCAACCGAAACTTTCAGAAATGAGCACTTCTTGATATTAATGGAAAATCCACATTTCGTGACTGCTTCTAGAACTTGTTCCAAATTGGTAATTCCCTCATCAGTCGTTTTACTTGGTATAAGAACATCGTCCATATAAACGAGAGCTATTTTGCCTCGAAGATCTCCCAATGCCTTGTTTATAGCCCTTTGATAGACTGATGGAGCATTCGTTAGGCCAAATGGCATCGTGAGATATTCATACTGACCGTCGGGAGTGACGAATGCCGTTTTCTCTATTGATGTTGCTGATATTGGCACCTGATGGAACCCCGCGGCCATATCGAGACAAGTAAAATATTTCGCATCGGCGAGTTGATCTAGTTGTTCCGAGATTAGTGGTAATGGGTAGTGATCTCGCACAGTGTTTGCATTTAGTTCTCTGTAGTCCACACATAATCTGTCTTCTCCGTTCTTCTTTTTCACCATTATTATAGGGCTTGCAAAAGGCGAGTTGCTTTCCCTAATAATATTTTTATCTCGAAGCTCCTTAATCATAGTCTTCACCTTTTCTCGTTCGACAGGCGCCAATCTGTATGGCCGCCGGTTAACTACTTTATCAGGGTTTTTTCAGTCGGATAGTCAATTCTCCTGTTGTGATTCTAGATCCAGATACACCCTCTCTAAAATAATCTTCATATTTTCTAAGCACAGTCATCAATCTGTCTATTTCATCTTTATTCTTCAAATCTGTATCTATCGAACTCGAAGATAACTGCCATATATTAGCGGCTGTTTTTTGTGTTGTTCGTCTCTCGTCATTGTAACGCCACTATGTGACATTGTAACTTTCAGCCCCGGTATCTTCAAAATGTCTCTTCCAATGAGAATATCCGCGGGTAGCTCGTGGTCTAGGACAATATGAAAGTCGAGTTCCAGATGCATATCATTTATGTAACAGACGGATGTTACTTGACTAAAGGATATAGCGGGGACTGGTCCGATACCCTTCAGGTATGTTGTTTTGTTTGTTCTTGAACCAGGAAGTGAAAGAGCTGTTGATTCCCTTACAAGTGAACAGTCCGCTCCGCTATCAAACATTGCTTGAAAATGTTTATTTCCAATTTTAACCACAACACCATTTTTCATGTCATTGTTTTGGACTTGGCAGAAATTGATGTTCTTTTCAGCGTTGAGTCGCTTAAAACAAGTTTCATAAGTGTGTCCAGGAATAGAGCAGTAAGTGCATTCCTTACTCCTTTTCTCTCTGTTCTTGTTTGCATCTGACGTTGATGGAATCGACTGATGGTGTTGTTCAGTACGGGTACGTGCTATCGCATTTTGATTACACCATCTTGCTCGATGGCCTTGTTTGCCACATACGAAACAAGTTATACTTTGATCTGATCTGCTGTCGTCGCTTTTTACTTTCTTGTTTTGAAAGCGGTCGTGAGTTGATGGCAGTTTACGTTTGCGCATCGTCTTAGCGATGGCAATAAGCTCTGGAACAGATAAACATTTAGCATTAAGAAGTTCTGTTCGAAGGTCGTCTTCTTTGATGCTTCCAATCACAAATTCTACAGCATCCTGTTCCGTAGGATTTGGCTTCACGATTTTTTTGAACATTTTCCATACATTGGATATGTATTCGGGGATGCTATCAGCATCATTTATGGAGTAACGTCGGAATTTCAAAACATCTGAAAAATATCTTGATTCTGGCTCAAATGTTTGTAGCATGTCTTCCCTCATTTCAGACCATGTGGTCGTCCGCAGTAGACAATCATCGGCCCAAGATTGTGCTCTTCCTTTTAAGACACCAGCAGCTTTTAGGCGTACTTCGTGGTCCTTTAGATTGTACTCCGCTTGAGTTCTGGTTATCAAATCAACCCATTCCCTCACGTCGGTACCTTTGTCAGGATCAAAACTTGGAAAATAGACGTCGGAAATGCGGATTGATCTAGTTTCCTCAGGCTTAAGGGCTTTCAACATTTCAGCAAGTACAGCGCGATTTTCTTGAGACATCTGTACCATCATTTCACACATAGTATCCTTGAATGTATTAGCCAATAGTGCCATGGTAGCACCATTTCCTGGCACCGGTTGATGGCGTTGGTTCGTCCCCTCTTCTGATGTAAGAGGAGGGGTGCTTTCTTCAATAATACCATCTTGTGGATTCATTATTATTTATTCACTTTAACACTTCACACACTGATATATTACGTCACTTGACACACTTTATACACTGATATATTACAGTCACTTCACACACTGATTTATTACACAATTAAATAACTAGTTAAGTAAATTCGCACACAGAATCAACAAAATATCAACAGAGATTAGTCTAGTTCGAGTGCTGACAAACGAATGAATGCGCTCTCGCTGCAAACCCGCCTTTTATTGTTCGACAATAGGAGGGGAACGACGTCGAGTTGGAACACGTGTTCAATAAAGGATGACGTAATCGAACGATGACTTGTAGTTTGCGCCGATATATCATTTTCGAAAAAAAATTATATCATACAAGCTTTCACCCCGCAGCTCCGCTCGCGTGGAGTTTGGTTAAATCACGTTTATAAGAGAACCTTTCAAAAGTCTAGGATAAAAAGTATCCTATGTTCTTTCTCAAGGACAACTCTGTATCTGTACCAAATTTCATGAAAATCAGTTCAGTGGTTAAGGCGTGAAAGCGTAACAGACCGACAGACAGACAGAGTTACTTTCGCATTTATTATATTAGTAGGGATTCATTATGTGTATTACTATTCCAGTTAAACAGCAACGGCAGTTTCTGTGAAGATTTATCAGAAGGAAAGATCACGTTACCCATCATACACGCATCCAAAACATCAGTGGGAAGCGAAGTTTCACGTGAGTACACTAAAACTCAGTTACTTATTGTATACATACGAGAACGTATTTGTGTGGATCAAACATTACAGTTTTATGTAACCCTTCGATAAATATGCAATCATTATTCTTCATAATTGCATCAAGTTATTTCATAAACTTGATTAGTTACATATCAATTTAAAGTTAAGAGTTTTGAGAACTTCGTGTAATTTATTTAATCTTTTCATGAGATCAGGTCCGCCTAGGAAGTTTCTTCCTTGATCCTCTGTTCCTTATACTTTATTGATGATAATTTTTGTCATTATTTTTGATGTTTATGAAATAAGTATAAACATAACTAAATGGTAATTCAGTGATAGTAAAGTATTTCGTGATTATATTTTTATTATTTTCAGGTATCATACGACAGCGTACCCGTGATATTGACTTGAAGAAGTACTGTATGTGTTTGTTGTAGAAGGCGGGCAGCATACAGTACACGAGAAACAGACTCAGTGAACTTGATCGAGAAGCTCGGGCTGAGGTGAATCAAGTATATACACATAGTATTCATTGAAGTATGGTTGTTTTAACTCGGCGGGAGGCGCACCCCATATACCAACACTGACTGTCGCTACTAGGTAAAAAATACCACAATAATATTAATGTAAGAACTAGAGTTATTTTATGGGTAATTAAATATAACCAATTTTTATTTTTTATATTATATTGTGTTACATTTTCAATTAAACAAGACAGTTGGAAACTAATAACGCTTGGTATAATATGTAATATTTGAAATTTTAAAACATAGCCCAAAGGCTTAGTCATTTTGTGCACAAAACGAAATATTTGCTAGTGTGGCTGGAGGGCTCTTTCCTGTTGTTTATTCAGAATATTATTATTTTGCTCGCCATTACCACCAAGTAAAAGTATTATTTTACTTTTCATAAATGTATGTAGGCAGGTTTAAGATTGTAAATTTACACTTAATTTGTGGCAATACAAGAGACACAGCCAACACCTTCAAGTAATCTCACGATTTTCTTTATTAGTCGAACCGTCGAAAATCTGTCGAAAGGTATCTAAAACGGCGCTGCACAAAATTACTTAAAAAATTAAATATTTTCGAAAGTATGCACTATGTGGTAAATTTTCCCCGGTAGCGCTTCCCGCCAAGTTAAATTGAAGTATACAACCTAGGTTTCTTACATATCGCCCGTTTAGGTGGAAACCCACTACTGGAAAAATGTTTGAATGATCTCAGTAGCTGGAGGGATGACGTAATGATCAAATAATTATTACACTATTTTGTTACACGGGACACTATTAACCAATAATATTTAAAAGGTGTGGGGTACAAAGACTCGCAAGTCTTGAAAATATATTTTTGTTATATTATTTATCCGATATTATAAGACATGAATATAAAAGCATTTTTTGTGTTTTTTCTATTTCAAAATTATTTTAATTTATTCATGTACAAGATTATAAGCTTTATAGATGTACAAGATTACAATTCTCCATAAATTTCCTATATAACAAGATCCTTCCCAATTTATAAAATGTAATTTATGAACGTTCTTGTCACAATAATCAAAGTGGACTAAATATAATATATTCTTTCCTTTCATTTACAGAAAAAAAAATGTAAGTAATTGTGTGATGATTCTTAATCATTAAAATCTAATGAGAAAAACAACCACATGAATAAGTGATCAAGTTGTTAAAGTTTTATTAATATACAAGGACTATCATATAGATAAGAATTTAATCCAATACAAAGATACATAATTTTTTAAACAATTAATTTAATCATTATACTTTTGTTAGAAAACTAAACCATTTTTAAATATGTATTATTATATTAAGAATTGAGATAATATAACTACATATTTAGTGACAAATTTATATAAAGTAATAGCGCAGTATTTCATCAACCTCAAGTCTGAGTTTAAATGACAACAAAAAGGTAATCTTTCGTTTCAAATTAGAATTAATTCTCTTACTATACTGATGTGTTTTATGTTAGTATCAACGAGGATTGTATATTTGATCCCACAAGTAGTATTTAAATGTGTTTTCACATTTATCCGTACCTACATTATGAGTTAACATTTGAATGATAGCATTAATTTGATTAAAAAAATATGTCATAAAAATATAACATTTAATTTCAATAAACACTCTTACCAGCAGACGAGAGAGATTCAACAAATGAAATTATATTTCAGCGAAGCTAATTCCACAGACGCTTAGCCGAGGAGCGCTTTGTTATCTCGCTTCAAACGATTTCTATTTATCACAGCAATGCAACGTAGAATGTATATATTAATAAATTATAAATTAGGATTTACCATTATTACGGACATAACATTAAGTTTTGAACACATTCCGTCGTCGCGTATAAAAATATTATTGATTAAATATCGTTATTTCACTTAACCTATCCTTAAGTCATTACCATGTCATTACTAATTACTTGTTGAAAGTCGATCGTGGGGCAAAATAGAATACAATCATTGATTAAAATATTTGTTTTGTAATGTTACACTATAATTAGGCAGTTGTAATTTCCATGAGCAAGAATAGTAAGTTATTTCCTAACCGTCTGCGGGCCAACTGCCTAACGATGAATTAAACGATTCTTCTATCACACATTAAGTCGATAATTTGTAGACAATTGACGTGCCCCACGCTTTTATTTTAGTCTAGTCTGTGCATATGTTTATAATTCCCACGACTGTATCTATTTTATTATTTTTTGGTCTTTAGTACCCTACATATTTTATCTTAAACATTGCAATGTATGTTTCACGTAAAACCGTTTGACTTAAAAAGTTTTTTTACCTATTGTTTTAGAATAAAACTTCAAGTCCTTACTTATTTTCCTAATATAATATTCTTGTATGTTATCTTACAATATGTAAATGTCTCGGTCTAGATTAATCCGTTTTCTTTGGTTGTGTCGCTATCAGTCACGTGACATTCAAATAAATCATAATATGTTTTTTTGTGTTCAAGCCGTGACACATCTGAGACGTTCTATTAATTATCAATGTGCTTTATGCATGGACTTCTAATTATAATTAATACCATTACAATATATACAAAGATTATACATATATTACACATAATAAAAGATTATTTAAACTGCTTTAGTTCATATCACTTTACTTTATAATTTTAGAAATGTATTAATTTTGCTTTCTTATATCTGGAAACAGCTCAACTTTTCAGTGTTAAAGACATATTCACAATATGAATACTTTAGAAAATATGATATAAACTGACCTGACCACGATATCATACAGTTTACTTGACATTTTGTAGGCGAGCTAACTTGAAATTGTTGTCCTAAAATCCCCGTTACGGTTAATTGTTGTTATTTTAGAAAAGTTATTTTATTCTTTTGAACTTTGCCAAACAAAATAAATTTATGTCTAAAATTCATATTTAAGGTAAAAATACGGTCCACTGAACATTTCACTAGATCACCATTCGAGTTTGAAGAATCGATACCCCGATGTCGACGCTTTTGTGTCAACGCATCGCGCAACGCATCCTATTGGTCAGCTGATCGGCGATGACGATGATGATGTCAGCGCGAGCAGACCAGTGGGGTGACCACAGCAGCGGTCGAGGAGGGGTACGGACGACCCTTGTACGAACTACTACTCGAATTTAAACTCCCAAAATTTCATATAAAGTTAGTTAGTTTAACTTTGTTGAAAGGTAGGCTTTGATTACTCCGATACAATATTACATACTGTATTCAAGCATTTATTTAATGTATTATATTTTAATTAGTTATTGTGATTTATCGAACCGTTGGAAATGGACGTTATTTTAACAACCGTATGTTATCACTTTATTGTTTGTACAGTAGGTACCGTTTTTTATACGTATGTAGGTAATCTTAGAGTCATATTAAAATTAAAAATTGCTTCCATTAATTAGTGAATATTTATTTACTAGGATGTAATATTGATAAATTTAATTAAAAAAAATAACCATGATTAATGCTAATTATATAAGAGTTAAAAATTTACTTGGTAGGTATTATAATCCAAAATAAAGTTTACTAATTGAAAGGTTTTTTTAACAGTAATGTCAATAATAAATAATATAAAATAATATTTGAACAGACTGAATATAAATTTTGTCTGCCCCTATATTAAGCTCGGAAATATAATTATTTTTTAACAAAAATAAACTAATCGGATAGTATACGCTATCATATCAACAACTAATGAATGTACATTATACATAGTATTACAAGCTCTCATGTAACAAAACCAATGAATTATATTTTCCTCTTTAATTAAAATAAACATTAATTCTCT